GGGAGGATCAGTTCCCAAAAGAAGAGAGAGTTGATTCAAACTGAACTATAGATGTCCACTGCGAAAAGGTGGGCATGATAAGAATTTCAACAAATTTTGTGCATACCTAGTACTAACTTATTGAGGGATATTTCATCAAAACTCAATGTACTAGAACTACAGAACTTTAACATGGAGATAGACCCTAAAGCTACTAAACCCAGAAATTGAGGCAATACACAAACTCTGTATATATTGTATGTTAACACTTAATTTTTGTATAGCAAGCCCAGACAAAAATTTATCTGAGATATTGTATTGAAAAGACACCCAAACTGTGTGTGTGTGTGTTTTCCCCCCTCAAATCCCTCTAGTGAACTTCCTAGAATATGTGAGAGATAAACCAGGTGAATGGATAGAAAGACTCAGTGTCTTAAAATATTGATTGCTTACAAATTAGTTTATTAATGTAAAGCAATTCCAATAAAAATCTTACGGGCTTTTGATGAACTGAATAAATTAATTCTAGATTCTATTTTTAGAGCCTCCCAAAAGGCAAGACACCTTTGGAGAATAAATAAGTAGGGACCTAACCTTCCAGATTACAACTTAATATAAAGCTACAGTAACACAGTGTGATAATGGCACTAGTATCCTATCTAATAAAAGAGAAAGATGGTAATTAGCCGTACCTCCGCTACCCTTCCCATTGGCTAATCAGGGTGATATGCAAATCAAAAAGAGTTTAAAAGAGTTTCCTTTTTTGGTAGGAGGAATATTAGTTTTCTAGAACTGATGGAACACATTACCAAAACTTGGTGGCTTAAAACGACAGAAATTCGCACAATTCTGGAGGCTAGAAGTGTGAGATCAAGGTGTCCACAGAGCTACACTCCTTCTTTGCCTCTCCCAGCTTTTGGTGGCTCTTGATGTCTCTTGCTTTTTAACTCCAATCTCTGCTCCGTCTGCACACGGCCTTCTTCCCTGTGTCTGAAAGCTCTCTCTTCTTTCTCTTCTAAGGAAACCAGTCATAGGACTAAGGGCCTACTGTAGATTCAAGGTAATCTCATCTTGAGATTCTCACCTGCATCTATGAAGATCCTATTTCCAAAAAAAATCGCATTCACAGGTAGCAGGAGTTAAGACTTAGACATATTTTGAAACCAGTTTTAAGTAGAGAAGCCGTATAGCCTCAGAGGCCAACCCCAAAACACTGCCACCCAGAGGCTGAGCCACAAACTGACTCTTAGGTGAACACAAATTAAGGCAGTCTGGATCACAAATACGGCCTGCTTTAAAATCAGGACTGTGATTTACAACACGGAGGAACAGTGTATCACAGGGAAATTCAACACTCTCCTAAATACCTGGCAGGACTAAGCAGATCCAAGCAACAGCAGCCTCCTGATCACCACACCCTCTGTCTGAGGAACAGCAGCTGTACGTGAAGCCTCCCCCCACCAGCCAGAAGAGCCACCACAGCTGTGAACAACACCCACCAGAGGAGCTGCTGCCAACTGAGGAGCAGCTGCTACCGCAACCACCCAAGGAGCAACCACAGCCCAAGGAGCCACTGCCACCCAGGGAGCAGCCACTGAACGACTCAACATCTAGATATGTCAGTGAGATCAAACATGGGTAGGCAAAGAAACCCCCAAAGGAAAGAAAAGGAGGACTCGCCAGAAAAGCAGCTAAGTGAGACAGAGGCATGCAACATGACAGAAAAAGAATTCAGAATAAGGGTCCTAGCGTGCATAAACCGGATGGAGGAAAAAATCAACTACTTATGCAAGAAGCAAGAAGAAACAGATGAAAAAATCAATAACTTATGCAAGACCCAAGAAGAAATGAAGAGCGATATAGCTGCAATAAAAAACACCATTGAAAGCATCAACAGTAGACTAGGAGAAGCGGAGGACCGAATTAGTGAATTAGAAGACAAGGAAGCAAAACACACCCAAACTGTACTGCAATTGGAGAAAAAAATTAAAAGACAGGAGGAGAGCCTAAGGGAGCTTTGGGACAACATGAAACGAAACAACATACGAATAATAGGGGTGCCAGAACAACAGAAAGATGAACAAGGATTAGAAAACCTACTCGAAGAAATAATATCAGAAAACTTCCCTGAGGTGGGGAAGAAAAAAGTCACACAAGCACAGAGAGTCCCAAACAAGGTGAACCCGAAAAGACCCACACCAAGACACATCATAATTACCATGGCAAATGTTCAGGACAAAGAGAGAATCTTACAGGCTGCAAGAGAGAGACGGAAAGTTACATACAAGGGATCTCCCATTAGATTATCAAATGATTTCTCAACAGAAACACATCAGGCCAGAAAAGAATGGACAGAAATTTACAAAGTGATGCAAAGCAAAGGACTGAACCCAAGAATACTCTATCCGGGAAGCCTAGGTCTCGGGTGCCAGAGGGAAGCCAGTGCTGGCAGCCAGGAGAAGGAAAGCCTACTCTTGCACGAATGTCATACATTGGGCCTCTAGTAGATCAATAAATGGGAACTGTGTTAGGCAGCTGTAAGATGGCTCCTATGATCCCCACCTCCTGGTATTCACACTCTTGTGCTATTGCAGAAGTGATGGGATGTCATTTCTGAGATTAGATTATATGACTGTGATTCTTATATCTGGAGCGCTCTCACTTGCTTTATCTCCAATCTCTCACTCAGAAGGTAAGCAAGCTGTCATGTTGTAATCAACAGTATGGTAAGACTCACATAGCAAGGAACTGATGCTTCTTCTCAACAGCTAGAACCCGAGGCCTGCCAGTGGCCACATGAGTAAGCTTGGAAGTGGGTCCTCTCC